CCATCTCCGATGTCCATCCCTGCTATCCTCTCTTCCATTAGGCGTTGCGGCTCCTTTCTCTTTCTTTCTTTGATTTCTTTCGCGATCTCTTCTTCCGATATCCCTTCCAGTGCAGATCGCTCGCTTCCCACCGCCGCTGGCTTAACTTTTTGAGTTACTCGCTTGTGTCGCTTGGGTAGCCCCCCATAGGGGGCCGTGCCCTTAAAAAAGACACGGATACCACACCGCCAAATTCCTCATCTTTTCCCTTTGGGAACGACTCCCTAAATCTTCCACCTCCACGATCCGACCTTCTTCCTCTGTGAGCAGTGGTCCATATTTCTTCTCGCAAATCGCACCGCGCGACCGGAGATATGTAACGACTTAATCTGATCACTGGGTCTCGCACCCACAGCGAGAGCTGTTGTATTCCTCGGGTCCCGAGGTTCCACTGTCTCAATCATTACCCGCGTCCCGTTTGGCTTCTTAATGGACAATGTTTGGCTCCCATCAAGTCGCTCTATCGTCACCGCATGCACGTGGCTCAGCCACGTTCGACCCAAGAGCAGGTCGGAGCTGCAGTTCTTGACTACAAAGACAGGCAGGGTCACTCGTACCCCTTGGACCTCTATGGCTGCCTTGTGACAAACCCMAGTGATCTGTTGCTTTCTCCCATCAGCCGTCTCTATCTCGAATAGGTATGACCTATCGAGGCCCAGTCCAACCTGTACTGCCAGGCCCTCGTCTATGATGATAGCCTCACAGCCGTTATCGATCATAGTATCGAGTACCGCTCCATCGTTTATAATCGTCTCAACGGCCCCGCTACCAAGTATATAAAACTTGTCTGGAGGCACACCTTCCATCCCATCGAGAATGACTGTCGCCATGCGATCCGCTCTGGCAGTCACCCCTGTTACTGCTACTGTAGAAGCTTCCGCCTTGAGGGCCCCCTGACCCTCCTCCGATAGAGGTATGCGAGTCTTCCGCGTGATCATCTGTAACTCATCACGAGCCGGCTTCGATGCCGCCAGGTACTCCAGAATAGAGCACTGCATGGGTTGTCGAAGGGCCCGCCTCAGTGGCTCGACCGTGTCAATCTCGTCCAGCGAACTCTTCATTAAGAACTTCTTCACTCCCCGCTTTCGCGGCGAAAGGATAACCTCCTCTCCATCGACCCGCTGCCCGTCCTTCTTCACCATCACGTAATCCGTGTGAGTCTTCTTCGATGTACACCCTCTCGCCGACTTGGTGGCTGCCACCCTTATGGGTGTGGTCGCCATATCCCCCTCAAAGGTTATCTTGATGCTTTGGCTCCTGACCGGCTCCTTTTCTTTACTCGACTTTACTCTCCTTGCTTCGACATTCTCCTTCATCGAAGGGAACATCGATACATCTCCCAGACCATCTGCCCACTTGACGTACTTGCGGTCGTCAAGCACGACAAGTCCCTCATCTATTGCCCGTTTGAGGTCCGGGCAATCCCTCTTGATATGATTTTCTCCTCTATAGTAGACACATGAGTTCCTGGGAGTAGATGGCCTGTCGTCTACGCTTCTAGAGATCGAACTCCTGGCTGCCTTGGGGTCAGGCGACTTGGGATATGGTTCTGATGAGACGCCATATCCCCCTCTTTCATTCCGACCGCGCGAATCGTTGCGGCGGTCTCCTCCAGACCCTCCTTGCTCATACCGCCCTCGCGAATCATTCCGGCGGTCCTGAGTCATATCGCCCTCGTGACTCATCTCGTCTGTCCCCTCGGTTGTACCACCTGCGCGACTCGTCACGCTGCTCTCTCGCATCTCCCCCGCGCTCAAACCGTCTGCGCGACCCATCTCGTCGTTCCCAGTCCCGATCTCCTCTTTCATACCTACCACCTCTGTAGCCATCTCGACCCGACCTCTCGTATCTGTCGTCCCTATATCTGTCTCGGTCCGATCTCTCGTGTTTGTCGTCCCTATATCCATCTCGGTCCGATCTTTCGTATCTGTCGTCCCTATATACATGTCGTCGGCCCTGATCTGTCTCCCATCTGCCGCGGGAGTCGCCTCTACCCCGATCGGCCTCATAGCGAGGGCTTCGCGGGTAATCATCCAGCCTCCTTGCTCGCGCAAACGGCTCGCGATCTCTGCGGTCTCGGTCTATCTCATCATCCCTACGTCGTCATGGCTCATCGTCTCTCTCTCTTCCTCTCGTACGATAATCAGTCCGCGTCCGAGGATTTCTACTCTCGACACTCCTCCAGGAATCGTTGTTCCTACGGTCCCAGCGAAGTGAATAGGGCCCTCCAGGTTTGTCCCGGTAGGCCTTGGCCCCTGTAGTGGTCACAATCTCTATAACCTGTTTCGTCAATCCCTTCACCATGTCCCGTATCTCCTTCACTTCCTCAGCCACGGCCTCATTCTTCTCCGACCAGGGATAGTCCTTGAAATCAGGACATCTATTCGTGGCATACTCCTTGTAGAGAGAGAAGTCACGTCTCCTCATCCCTCTCCACACCAAGTCCTTGTAATCGTCTGCCTTTGCCTTTATCGCGAGCTTTAGGACTTCTGGAAAATCAAGCCTGTCGCGCGGAAGATCTCTAAAAATACTCTTTTGCCTACCTTTGGACAAGTGTCCGATGAAGATAGTACCGCGCTCGACCTCTGAGATCTTCCCCTTCTTCATCAGCACGTCGGAGATCTTYTGGAAACGCATCCCAAATGCCCGTACGCTCTCATCTTCATCTTGAGTCATTGTTTCAAGGTCCTTGATGGAATACTTGTTATCCTCCAATTTGTAAAGCTCAACGAGGTTCTTCTTGTACGTAGTYCATTTCCCATCCTTCGGTCGAGCTTCCTTAACTTCCCTACTGAGACTTGGGTCCACATTAAATAGGAAGTTCTCTATAATCTCTTCCTCCGACCACTGACTCCGGCTGGCGTGAAGCTCCCACTTCTCCAGACCTGTCTCTTATACACATCTAGATGTGTATAAGAGACAGGTCGGAGATCTTCTGGAAACGCATCCCAAAGCCCGTACGCTCTCATCTTCATCTTGAGTCATTGTTTCAAGGTCCTTGATGGAATACTTGTTATCCTCCAATTTGTAAAGCTCAACGAGGTTCTTCTTGTACGTAGTYCATTTCCCATCCTTCGGTCGAGCTTCCTTAACTTCCCTACTGAGACTTGGGTCCACATTAAATAGGAAGTTCTCTATAATCTCTTCCTCCGACCACTGACTYCGGYTGGCGTGAAGCTCCCACTTCTCCAGATATTCTGTGATACCATAGCCCCTGAAGGTAGGAGGCTCTGAGGCCTTGTGCGTAATAATATAGCGATCCTTGCTCTCGTAAGGGAGCGGATGTGACTCCCCTGTCTGGGGGTCGAAGACTCGCCTGGGCGGCGCCCTGTCTCTATCTCTGTCCCTCCAATAGGAATCCCTCAAACTCTCTCTCCAGCCGTCTCTGTGCCTGTCCGTTATGGTGTCCCTCCGCTCGTACTCGGGGGAGCGTCGCCTCATCGCTTCTCGTCGTCCGCTGGAGGTACCCGTCTTTAGAGCCTCCTGCGGCTCTGTCGCAACTGGTTCGCCCCTTACGTCGGGACCTCCGTCATTGGTTTGGTCAGCCCATCTCAGCGGTGCTTCTCGCCTAATTCGTTCCTTCAGATCCCTCAGAGCTCGATCGGGCGATGTCCTGTACTCCTCTCCCGCTTCGCCCATGGTCGGTTGTGGCCCCATCGTGGTATTCTAGCCAACTGTTACAGCCCGACCTTATCACAGTCGCTGCAGCCCGGACCTGTGACAGTTGCGGCAGCCCGGACCTGTTTCCTTGTCACGGCTCGCGTCCGCCTCCGATCTAAGCTCTCGACTGCCTTAATTACCACTTCCAGTATCCCGTACCGGTCGCAGATCTCGTGCTCTCCCTCTATCCCAAGAATCCCTGTGTCTAAGTAAACCTCTCCTTCGGGATCGGCCAACAAGGCCGTGCCTCTCCGGATCTGCAGTACACCCGTGACAGGACCTCTATCCTTGAGACAGATCGCAGTCCCAAACCTAGCCAATGTCTCCTGATCAACACCCCTCAAGAGTCTTCGAGCGTCTATCTCCGTCCTCCTTGCTAGTTCTCCTAGCCCTGTCCTGAATCGGTTAGCCCGCTAAAGGCCCTCCTACTGCCATCCAAAGTCGCCCATCGACCTTTCTAGGTTCCACTATCCTTCCAAGAGCTTCCAATTTCTATTTCCACTCCCTTATCTCGCAGACGGCTACGAGGTCATCTGTCTAGCAGTTGAGGTGAGTTAGTGTTATAACCTCTTGTAACCTCATCGCCGACCGCTCCAATATGTCATAAAATGTCTCAAAGTCCTCCTTATCTCCACCATCCTCTATCGCCTCTAAAGTCTTTATCGATTCCTTCCAGTACCGGTCGTGAGCGGCTAACACCCTGMGTATTGCACCATCTGTTACAACTCTCCCTAACTCTCCATCTTTCCTGGCTTCGCTTATCTTCAACCTCTCAGCCTCTCTGGTCGTCTCGTACCATGCCCTTATCCGAGAGCGCCCTTCGAAAGGTGTCACTTGGAGTACGTATTTTATCCTCCGTCCTCATTCTATTCCAATTCAAAGTCCTGTCCCCCTAGCCTCACGCAGCGCGCGGCGGATACACCCTGCCTCCTCAACTATGCACAGTCTGATATGGAGTTGGAGTTCTATGATTACTAACACTAATGGTCCGTCCAGTCTCCCTACCATATGTAATGAGTTTCGATCCGTCGTGTGTAGTGCAGTCCCGCTCATGTCCTGTCGCTACTTCCCTGCGTTACTTTGTGTTCCGTTGTCTCGCTCTCTGTAGATTGCTCACTAGTTTCTTCGCGTGATACGCTTCTAGCCTTTACCCTCTCCATAAAGTCTGATCTCCACGCCTGGATAATCTCTCTTTCCTCCCTAAACAGATTCTCTATCTCTCTCGTCACGAGTTCAGCCCTACGCAACTTGCCCTCGTCCTGACACGACCAGATCTCCCTTAACTTATTCCCCAACTTCTTTACATGGTTCAAGAGTGGTTCTTTAACGCGCTTTCTCACTCTTTCGACTGCCTCACTCTCCTCTTCCATACTCAGTCCACATCTTTTTCCAGCTCATCCTCTCACCCTCGCTCTAGCCTCCGCTACCGTCTCATCGTGGTAGTGCTCCGCGCGCATATAACCATGAGACCATATCATCACATCATAGGAAATCGAGGTCTGGAAGGTCACTCGCGCTAGTACATCAGCTCTACGCTCGTGGATCAAATCCCTGGCTCGTTGTCTGCACTGCCTCGCTGTCAAGTCCTCGTCTACGTACACTCGGAGAAGTACTGTCACAGTGTGTCCTGCGCTTACCAGTTGCTCTCCTACACGCATCACCATGGCCGTCCTTCCCGGCATTCCCTAAGTTGCGGCCTCGAAGAGAAATCTCACATCCTCTAGCCCCACGTAATCGATCTCTGCCCGTCTCCTGCAGTACCTAATTAGATCGATTAGCCTCAGACAGTCCACCCAGCTAGTAACGTCTATGATATCGTCAAGCGTCTCTCTACTGGGCGGCCCCCACCTCACACAAATGGCGTAGTATACTTCCTTGAAGCG